AAGGCTGTGTCCTCGCGAACACTCTTATGGTTGCATATCGGAACGATCGGCCAAGTACTGGCCAGTCACCGAACATACAGGCGACTGCTAAACGTCCACCCTATGTAGGTTATCACGATGACCTGTTTCGCCGAGGGCTGTACAATACATACGGCAACTTGAGTTACAATGTAGCGAAGTCTGGAATAAAACACAGTTGAAATAGCTGTCGAAACACAAAGGGCGTTAGTACGCGCTCATTGGCGCCAACTGCCAATCATAATCGCCTCGCAACGATAAACCAGTTCTCATATTCAGACAACACTGTTTCGCGCACCATCCAAACAGATGGCGGGTTCTTATCCTGAGTCTTCTAAGTCAGGATAGTCTTCAGCCTAGTCTCGGACCGCTACGGCTTCGTCTCCAACAGCCAAAAGTTGAGGAGAACAGGGCCTTTGGCGCTGCTACTGTTTTTCTATGCCGCAGAGGGCGTGTACTGGGGGAGGGAACCCATGTCTTAAGTATACAGCCACTCCCAGCTCATAGATGCGGTTCGACAGCGGTTGAACAATGGGAAAAATCAACCATAGCGAATTATGTCCACCGTGTGCCCCACAATGTGGTGAGTGCGGAGACAATAACATGTGCACAGCATCAACCACACTCTGTCCTCCCCGAACCACCTAAGCCCTGACACGACGAAAGCCAGCGGTTACTGCAATATTGGAGGGGAGCTAAATAGGGGTTTATGGATGAGAAAAAAGATAACTATTATCAAAATATAGAGGCAGAAATAGGGAAAATCCCAAATCTGAAGAATAACCAAGGGTTATTTGACAGTTAACCGTAGCTCCCTAGCTGTGAAACATAACCCTAGACCCAAAACCAAACCGCCAACGGTTTATAACCCAACCCCTATAACCTTAACTTACCACTGATCGCAAAATTTAGGTCCGAAGCCATTTTTTGACCGCAGTGGCTTATCCGCTCCCCCCTCCACCCCCTAAAGCCGAACTTACTTCTGCTGCTCACTCTAAAAATGGCTGTGAAACGAAACCCCACTGCTGTGGCTTTATACTGCAATTTGAATTTTAACGAACACAAATACACCTACCGAAAACAATCCTAGTAGCAATGCCAAAATAACTGACCAACCGCAGCAGTATTGTCAGTCCTCCGCCGAATA